GGCTTGTTATCTTTGTTTAAAGTATAAACTATCATCTCTTGTTTTACCAAACTGCCTTAGAGAGAAGGGTATAGTTTTTTACAGACTAAGGAATTATACTTACTTCTTGGACACTGCTATAAACCTATAAAGGATCCCTGTAGCTGTGTCGTTGTTATAGTACTGCTGTTAAGAAGGTCACGGTATTGTAACAAAATAAATAAATAAATAAATAAATAAAAAATAAAAAAAAAAAAAAGATTTATTATTATAAAATAATTTTTGATGAATTTAATTATAAAAATAAATAAAGAATGGTAATTTTAGTATAGTGGTTGGGTTGTCATCCTTCAAGTAGCAGATTTAAGATTCAAATTTTACCTATAATAAAATTTGAAAATTAATACATGTTATAGCAAACTGTTTCTTAATGATTGGTTAGATTGATATATCTGTAACCTTAAGTTATATCATTTTGAATGGAAGCTTGGAGCATCTATATAAAGTATAATATTACATGTATATAAAGAAATTTTAATTACTGATATTGCATAAGTTCTTGATGCAAACTCACAATAAGATTACTAGGTACAGTAAACTAAAAAACTAAAGAGTCAGAAGCTTACTTGAAAATTTTCAAGTAAAAAAATAGTATGAATTTTTAATAATACAGTTAGATTGATAAAAGCCTATAAAATACTCTTAAAAGGATAGACAGATAAACCAGATGACAAAATATATAAAGAAATATATAACCAACCAGGCTGCTAAAATTATTAAAAGAAAAGAATATATATATATACTATATCAGACTATCTAGATTAGAAGTTAGAAAAGTCTTGTTGATTTTAAGTAGCAGTTAGTAAGGAATAATGAAAAAGACATCATGATAATAGGTACTAGAATTCTAGTAAACTTTACAAGAATAGAAATAGTATAATATAGTGATTAAATAGATAGCTTCTGTAATTGCAAGTATTAGATAACTATAGCATATTACATAAAACTAGATCAATTGTGTGTAAAACATAAAAGCTTTTAGTAAGTTTTTTGTTAAAAATAAATTAGTTTTAAGGGTTTTGAAAGTGTTAGGTATTTTGAATAAGTGTAGCTCAAAAGATGTCCTTGTGATTACAAGTTAAACTACATATACAAAGAGTTTAAATAAGCAAAATCTGTAGTTGGCTTGCAGATATGACACCTAGTATAGAATCTGTATAGTAATATATAAGCAGACTACTTAAATTAGACACCAAAAGGTGCATATGTAACTAGTTGTAACCTCCTATATATAGAAGCTCTAAAGGCATTTGTATTCAAATACTTGAATAAAAACATTGATCTCCAAAGGCAGGAACTTTAATTTAAAAAAAAATAAATTATAAAAATAAATTAAATATAATAAATATACAATTTTAACTATTTTAGTTATTGATTTTAATTAGTAAATCTATTTACAGATTTTTATAAACTATTACTTATATATACTATAAATATATATATATAATAATTATTTTCTAATAAGATATTTATTTGAATTTATGTAAGGTAATAATATATACATATTTACAACTAATAAATAGCAAAAAAATACCAAACAAATAGTTATCAAAAAGATAACTATAAATAATGCTTTATATTACTACTATTTTATTTAACAAAAAGTTTTTATTATTCTTTGTTTTGTAAAAAATTATTAAAGTTTTTTTTATAATTATTGTCTTCACTTTAGCATTTTCTTTTAAAGCCTAAAAAAAAAACTTTTAAGTTGTTTATTTTAATTCTAATCTTAAATAAAACTTAATAATCCAATCTTAAACTAAAAACTTATATAAAATATTAGATAACAAATAAGTTAGAATTGACCAGAACAGTCTTTAAAAATGCAAAGTATATAGTAATATCATTTAGGCTTAAGATGCATAATATGCAATGCAGAATTAAAATTTTTATATTAATAAAACTACAGATCTAGTACTAAACAAAAAATAAAAATAATTTATATCTATTTTATTAAGTTTTTATATTTTATTTTTATTATTATTTTAATTTGAATCAAATAACAATAACTAATATACTTTACAAGAATATAACAACTTAGTAAAATAAATAAGTTGTCAATCTTTTAAGTATTAAGTTAGGTATTTAAATTTTATTAATAGTAAAAATTTGAATAATTATTTATATAATACTTATATTATAGTAACTGTTTCTAATAATTAGATTAAAATATCTGTAATGATGATTATATTAGTATAATTGGCAAGTTATGAGACATCTGTATAATTAGTTATATAGAAAAATGCAAACTGATATTAGGTGATGCAAACTCTAAATAAGTTCTTGTAGTTATATAAATTTGTTAAAATTAGAAAACAAAAAATTTATTAGAAAGATCTAAATAGAGAGATAATATAGATTTTTGATAACATTATTATAAAGATTAAACTACTAAATATAGATACCAATATTGAAGTACTCAGATGGACAAAAATCTATAAATGTGAGATATTACTAATTAAAACACCAGAATTCTAATTAAAAAAATTAAAGAAAAAAGATATTGATCTAATTTAATATATTAATAAACTAATTATAATTCTATACAAATTATCTGAATTAGAAGTCTAAAAAACAGAAAAAAGTATGTTAAAGTATTAGAGATATGTTATTAAGTAGATACTATAGTTCAAGTGAACTTTACAAAAACATAACAATTTAATGATTATTCTTAATTGTAAGCTTTAATTCTGTTATAGTGATACTGAGTTAATTATAAAAATAGATACAAAAAACTTCAAAAGATTTATCATAAAAATAAAATAATTCTAAAGTTGAGATAATAATCTAAACATAACCTAGTAATATTAAAACAAGTTGCAGATTTAAAGAATTTAAAATAAAACACTCAAGCAGAAATGTTAAGTATAACAATTAGTAAAAAACTTTTAGACAGACTTTTTAAATAGGTAATATAGAAAGTTATACATGTAACCAATTGTATACTTTTCTTATAATGGTTCATAAAATCACATTACCAAAAAAGTCATTAATAAAAGTCAAAAAACCAAAAAGGTCACCTTAAAAAAAAAAAAAAAACTAATATACTTTATAATAACAATATGTTAAGGGAATTGCTATTCGCACCATGGATTTTTGCTATCCTCACCATGGTAACTAACATTATGAAAAACTACTTACCCTAACTCTAACTAATTCTGGTCGTGATCTACATACCATGGTGCGAATAGCAAAAATCTATGGTGCGAATAGCAGTTCCCTATGTTAATAATACTTTATAAAAATATTACTCTAACTTTTTTAATTCTTAATTTACTTAAATAAAAATAAAAAAACATTAGCAAATATATTTTGTATAAACACTATTAACTACTACAAACTTTTTTTTAAATATTAGTAAAATAACAGATCAGATAAAGAAATATGCTTATTTCTTTAAATATTAGTTAAATTATATTAAAAAAAGTATTAGCCAATACATTTATAAAATATTATTTTTACTTTAGTTAAAATAAACATAGAAGAAAAGCATTAGCTAATAGGCATTATAAACACACTACACTTATTCTTTTAGATATTAGTTGAACAGATAAAGAAAGAATATTAGTAATATCTAAATAAGTAAATATGATATTTTTATAAAGCACATTGGATAATGCTTTTTCTCTATATAATCCAAGTTTATTTCGACTGATATCTAAAGAAGAAAGCGTGATACTCTTACAAAGCGTATTAGTTAATACTTTTTTTTCTATCTGGTCCAAGTTTATTCATATTAGTATCTAAAGAAGTCAATATATTGCAAAGTGCATCAGCTAATGGCTTTTTTATATTTGGTCCAAATAAGTCAGTGCAGTATTCTTACCAAGTACATCAGCTAGTGCTTTCTATCAATTTGATCTGAGTTCTGAAATCAGCGTGGTGTTCTTACAAAGCACATAAACTTTGAATAAACTTGGACCGAATAGATAGAGTATTAGCTAATATGCTTTGTAAGAATACCACGCTTATTCTTTTAGAAATTAGTAATAATATATACTCGGATCAGCTTTGCAATAATTATAATCCTTCACGTTCATGGAATATGCACCATTTTGGTCTAGATTACCACCAAGATTTTTTTAGAAATGTCGGTCTCATCAATCGTTATAACATCACAATTTACGATAAACCGCAGATCATTTTTTTTTTAGCCAATAAAAAACGAACACTCACTATCGTTATATTGGTACTTATATTGGTACCTTTAAATTATTGTAATGTCTTCGACAGTTGTCTCGGCACCCGGCAAAGTTCTTCTGACAGGCGGATATCTAGTACTTGATAGGAAATATGAAGGGCTTGTGATCGGAACAAGTTCTCGTTTCTATACTGTAATTCAACCTGGTGACAATTTATCAAAAATTATTATTCACACTCCACAGTTTGACGACCCAAATTGGGAGTATAAAATTGCAATAAAAGAAGGGTTATGTGAACTTACCGCACTGTAATTTACTTTATATATTTAATAAATAAATTATTTTATTTTCAATAATTTAATTGATTTTTTCTAAATAATACAGTGACAAGGATAGATGTAATACGTTTATTGAGACTGTCCTAAAACATAGTTTGTTAATTATCGCAAACCGTATTCCCAGTCAAAAATTCGATGAATTAGTCCTTAAAGGGCTAAATATTTATATGGCTGGAAGCAATGACTTTTATTCACAACGTGAACAAGTAAAAAATGAATTAAAATATTTATTATAACCATTATCATTATTATTATTAAATTCATTTTCTTTAAAAATTAAAGCTAAAGAACTTGAATTTGCCTCTCACCACCGCATCATTACGTGCACTGACACCATTTTGTAAAGTCCATACCTTCCTTAAACAAGTTCATAAAACGGGTCTTGGTTCATCGGCAGCACTTACAACTTCCTTGGTTGCAGCTTTATTAGTTTATTTCGAATGCGTTGATAAAATTAATGATGATGTCAAGGAAAGAACGTTAATTCATAATGTGTCACAGTTTTGTCATTGTCTTGCTCAAGGCAAAGTTGGGTCAGGGTTTGACGTTTCTGCCGCCGTCTGGGGAAGTCACGTGTACAGGAGGTTCTCGCCAACGATATTGGAACCAGTAATTAAAAGCGAAGTATGCATAACGATAATGAAAACACAGAAAATAATAATAATAGAAAACTAATTCTAATTAAATGAATACTAACATTTCTATAAGAATGTTGATATAGCCGTTCTCAGTAAAATTGTCGATTCAGATTATAAGTATATATTGTGATTTTAATATCTCAGGACCATATAACATACTTGGCTCTTATTTTTTCTCTTATTTCTTTTATGCACGTAGATGGGACAATCAGATAGCGCCATTCACCCTTCCTCCAGAATTTAAAATGGTTCTTGCTGAGGTAGATTCCGGATCTAATACACCAAGCATGGTTGGAAAAGTATTGGCATGGCGTAAAGAAAACCCCGAACAGGGTTGTTATCATGTTTTTTTCGAATTTACAACATTTTTTGCCATAGGCTGATAAATTTTAATTTATTAGCGAATATATCGTGGAATATGATTTCTTCTAGTAATACAATTGTCCTTAATAATCTCATCGAATTAACCAAAGAATATGAGAAGGATAAAACGGAGTACTATAACGCAATTAGAACTTGTTCTTGTGTTAAAGGACCTATGGTAAAATATAAAACTCCAAATAAACCTTTCTTTTCATTAAATAAAATTTAACTTTGAAAATTTTGATCCTAGTGGTCAAGCCTACTTAATCAGGAACGACCGGGAAAACGAACTTTGGAATTACTTTATTCTACTTTTACCGAATTTCAAGTATATTACATTTTAAAAAAAAATTTTAATTATATTATATTTATTTGTTTATCTGATTAATTCGATGGTTGTCTTTGTTTTTTTTTTTTATGTTAGAAAGTCCGTCAATTGCTACGTGACGTGTCAAACATGTCAGATGCACCAATCGAACCACCTATGCAAACAAGATTACTCGATGCATGTACCGAGGTTCCTGGTGTAATTATGGCTGGTGTCCCTGGTGGTAAATATTGTTAATAATATTATTAATTAATAAAATCTATTTAACATTAAAGACTTATTTATGTTTGAATTATTTTTTTAATTCACTAATAGCTGGTGGGTACGATGCTATATTTTGTGTAGGTATTGGAGATAATTTTATTACACAAGTTGAAACCGTTTGGGAAAATTGGAACGAAATGAGTGTTGGACCTTTGCTAACAAGAGAATCTTCAGATGGATTTATGAAAGAAAACTTAGAGAATGTATTAGGCTTGAAAAACTGTTTGGAATCATAATTTATATATAAATGCGCTCCAAATTTATAAATTTATATTTATCACTGTTGTTATGTATGATTTAATCGTATGGCCTTGACTTGTTAATGAATGTATCGAATACGTATCATTGGTATTTATAGAATAGCTTTTAAGTAAAATGAATCAATCATATTTTGTAACGCAAACTAAGATAAACTAGGAGACAGCTTGGTTATGGTTTAAAGTCGTGAGCCTGCTTGTCAGTAATTCTTAGTAAATCGAATTTCATTAAAAACGGGATTTTTTTGAACATAAGATATATTCAACCTACTGTAATTATCCAAAGCGAAGCGTTTTATGAGCGAATTATATTTTAATGTGTTTAATAAAATATTAACGAAAGTCTGTCATTTTCATCTGTCATGTCGTGTTTTTAAATTGCATACTTGTGCAGAAACCCAAAAAGATTAGAAAACTATAAATCATAATTCAATGCTGTCAATTTTTTGTTCTATCCTAATTTCTATTGCTCTATTCTATTGTTTTTTTTGTTCTATTGTCTATTGCTGTCAACACTGATCATAATGTTTATAAATCCCAAATCCCAAACTGGACAAATCTTATTTGGACATAATCCCAAACTCCATTTGTTCAAGTTTGGTAAGTATATTTATAAACGGTAATAACAATGTTAAATTGTAATTTGATATTAACAAATTGCAGAATTGATATCGAAAAATATTGGATTTGATTCTATCACAGCTTGTGTATGAGATATTGAAATATATGCACGCGAGGTTAGCACACTAGTAAAATCAATAAATTTTTTATGAAAATCGAATTTAATGTCTACCTTTTTTTTAAAAGATAAAGCAAATTGTATAATAGAGCCATTTTTTCGATTTACGCTATTTTATACTATTAATAGCGTAAATCGACAAAATGGCAATTTGCTCTATCTTTAAAAAAAAATTAGACATTAATTATTAGACTGATTCAAGAGAAAAGCGTACGTACCAAAAGTTGATATTATCCGGATTTTCATAAAAAATTTATCATTTGCGACTTTGATTTTACTAGTATGATGATCACTCCAACGCAAGGTACTGTACGTGCATCTCTAGATACGACTGAACGCATATACATGTGCATTTAGCCGTTTCGTACACGTTGATTTAACAATTGTATTATTAATTTAAAATGATTTATGTTTATTATAGATGCGTACGTACGTACATAGTTATAAAAAGTATAATCTGTTTTGTTTGCCTCAAAAAAAAAAAAAAAAAAAAAAAAAAAGAAAAAAAATTTTACAATAAATTCAGATTACAATTATGTGATAAATTAACTTGAAATAATAAGTTAGAGGCTATATAATATATATACATCCAAAATAATAAACCTACACTATAATAATGAAGTTACTATTGTTTATCAGATTCTAAAAATCAAATCTCTCTAAGTCCCTAAGCATAGATATTTAGTCTTTCCCGACTTGCGAGAATCTTATTATTTTACTCTATGCATAAAATTGTCTTAGGATCCTGTGAAATACACTTAGAGAGAAGTGATGACAATATAAATAATTTTTTGTACTTTGTTTTTTTTTAACATTGAATTCTATTCAAATAACCCCACCAATTCTTTTGTGAATTTGGCGATGTCAAAAGATGCACTAGCTAATCGTTGCTTAGAAGCCCTATTGCTCATAAAACCTTCACCATCATTTGTTATCGTTTCTCGCATCTCTCCCAATTTGTTAACACAATCCACCAGATTTTTTAATATAGAGTCTCCACGTAAACGATAATGAGCATCAGCTGATGATCCAAAAAAGTCTTGACATGTTGAAATAACATTAGCAACGATTGTGACAATGTTGGTGATATTTTCGGAAAGTTCATTAACATGCGATCCATTTCGAATGGAACTTAGAAGTGTTTGAATTGCCTGAACTATGGATTCAGTTTGACGTTCCAAGTAAGCCTGCGTTACCAACAAAATTAGCTATATATGATAAAACTTTAAAAGTAAAATCTAAAAATCGAGAATTAACTTACTTTCAACATATCTACGTCGAGGAATGATACTTCTGTATAATACATAATAACGTTAAAAGATTTTATTAAGGCTAAAACTATTTTAATATCAATAATATATATTTCTTTTTTTACCATTCATATTGTTCATTTCGGCCTTTGCATTTTCGTATTTGTTTTTCCATTCATCAACTGCTTTTGTCAAAGATTGGATTTTGGCACTGTCGCGTTCCTTTTCTGAAGATAGTTCTTCATTTTTCATTGAAAGTATCTTGACTTCTTCTAACAGAGATGTTGCCTCTTTTTTTACATCATTGGTAACCTATATTGATTAGTCAATAAGTATGATATCAATAAGTACGATAAAAGCAACAAATTCGGACAAACAACTAATTTCACTAAAATCTACCTCTAGTTGTTGTTGACGTTCTTCATTTAATTGCATAACTTCTTGTTCCAATAGCATCAGTTGTGACTTCTGTTGTTCATTTATTTTTAATAATTCTTCTAATTGGTTTTCAAGACTATGTATTCGGCTGTTTCCATTGGCATTTACACTCTCCTGCGTGTTCACAAATTAAATATTAAACAAATATTGTTGATACAACTCTAAGTTATAGAATATTATGTACCGCTAGTTCGGATTCTAAGTCATTTACTCGTTTTTTTAAAGTAGCTATTTGAAATTCGTAATCTGATCTCATCCGTTCTATAGAGTTTTCCTGTAATTTTTGATTTAAATTTATTAAAATATAGATTTATAAATTTATAAAAAAAAAAACATCCAAATTACAAACTTTTTTATGACCAATAATATCTCCAAGGTCTGCCATCAAATTGTCAAGTGATTCAAAATTCAATTTTTGGCTATTGGCTGTATCCCTAGTTCCTTTACTCGATGAACTAGTAACGCTAGCCATGCTCATATAATGGTTTCCTATATCGGACACAGAAGACGCAGTGGATTGAGAGCGACTCCTTGGTGCCCTTGAAAGTCCATATTCTGGTGGCATACTGTCCGGTATTGGAATATTACTATGATTACCATTTACATAAGGTTTTGGATTGTTTTCAATATTGTTGTCAGCTGGAGCACCTGGTCGACTGGTTGGTTTCTGAATTTGAAAATCTGTGATAATTTCCTGCTTCACAGTTCCGGTTTTAGGAATAATTGTGGTTTGTCCAGGTGATGTTGGTTGATAATTATTATTAAATTTATTATTAGGCGGATAATACTGTGGTGCAGGCTTTGAAAACTATTTATAATTAATTTTTGGATTGATCGTTGAATTTTATTAAGTCGAATAAATAAATAAATAAATAATTCACCTTCATATCTTTTAATTCAGGATGGCGTCTTTCTAATTCGTAATAAATATCAACTGCCAAGTCTTTAAAGCGGTTCGCGGGTAGTGTAGCCAATTTTTGTCGCGCTTGATTTCTTTTTGGATGAAACTCATCGCGCACTGGAAGAAATGGTGCTAAAATGCAGATAAACAAACATCATTAACCTGTCAATTCCTGGTTTTCATGTCCTTTAATTACGACTTGTTTTTGAAAAGGTCATAATGCGACACGAAATTATCATTTATATACCGTCTTTCGAGTCCATTAGTCGACGAGTCAATTCGTCGTACACATCCGTGGAAAGCTCAAAGAATTGAACTTGCGTTAGTCTATTTAATTTTTCTTTCGCGCCTGCTCTTGAACCATCGGCCTTTTCTAAGAATAAGGTTAAATGTATCTTTTACTAATTCATTCATAAGGATCGCAAATAAATTGACATATTCCGCGAGATACTTTTAACTATAAACTGTAACATACCGTTGGCGAGATGTGTTTCAAGAAATGCTTTTAAGGCTTCATACTGTGTGGTAGCGACGTCCATTTTTAAGGATTTATAGAATTTATTAAAGAATGTGTAAGCAAAAAAAGAAAAAAATTAATCCATTAACAGGCCAAGAAAAAAAAAAAAAAAAACAGTTTGAAAGAATAGTGTATGAAGTGTTATTAGAACAAAGAGTAAGGTTGTTTAACATATTGTGTTAGTCGCGTCACAATAACAAATAACAACCTTTGTCTCATTAAACGGAAATCTTAACCCTGATAAGAAAATGTAGTAGTTTACACGTGATTTTTTAATTGATTATACGTATTACACAATGAATTGATTACCGATTAGAAGCAACTTCTTCACTTCGGCTCGAAAACATTTTTGTCGGTAATATGCGGTGTTTGTAACAGCTAAAGATGCCGGTGAAATTAGACTAGAGTGGTGAAATAACTTTACCGCTATTGGTGAAATTTGGTGAAATTAATTCATTAACGTCTTTAGAACTCTTGAATTAAAAGATAAGAGCTTCATCTGAATCCGAATTAAAATTAGTAAATCCGAATTGATCTTGATCTCATTTATACACTTGAACATCAATATAGTCAATAAAAATAGATCTCGATTTAAAAATCTAACGATTAATCTTTTATATTATCAATTTAGTCATTCATGCTACAAATATTAAATTTATTTTGTGCTTTCTAGGTTTGCGATTGTAATTATTATATCAATATTTATTAATCAATTAAAAATTTTCTATAAATTTAAATCATTTATATTATTTATGAATGCATATGAATTCATAAATATCTTATTTAATTCACTTAAATTTTCCTTTTAAACTTTGTTTAGTATATAGTAGGGATGTTAAAAGTTCTTTTCAATTTTATGACCAAGGCGGTCAAAATATAACAAAATAAGGCCATAACCCATAGTTAGCTGGCTCCAAAAGTCAAGTTGATCAAAAAAAGTCGATCGAAATCGATTCATGCACATTGGATACTGAATTTAATATTCGAATATCCGTTAAATCTAATATGAAAATGAATAACGGATCTGAGATCTAATTAGGAATGTTCAATGTATGAACCCCAGCCTGGTTCTTAAAAAGTTTAATTTGAAATTAATGAGATTAATGAGATCGGACTAGTTCTTAACTAATCCTATCAGTATTGGAACTTATATCCGTGTTGCATATTAAAGTATTATTCATGTGTTTCTTAGGATTCTGCTCATAAGTAGTTATGAGTCAGACTCAAAGTGTTCATGCTGAGTCGACTCTTTAAGGACTGACTCTAGTGGATTTTTCAACATTTATCACATATATACGCATTATTAATGTTTTTAACTTGAGTAATACAAAGCTTTGTTATGCCCAAAAAAAATGTGTTTGAGCCCGAGTGGTAGTATATCATTACTATTAGCATCTATCAGGGACATGTGAGAATGCGATTGTTGTGCTTGCAGTCACATGAATTTCACGAATGTCCAGTAGTAGTCTTAACCTGTCAGATCAGACAGACTTTTAAAAAAATATTTATTATTACCAAAGTTTATTACCACATTTTTTTAATAGATTATAAGTAATTGTATAAGTGCTTGGATGATCCGATGGGATACTCGACTATTTTTATCTAGTGGATATTTTGATACATTTATTGGATTATCAGAACATGTGCCGGGCTGTTAGTTTCCATGGGATTGTCAAATATCTGCGGATCCCAACACTACTTTTAAACATCATGTTTTTTCTAAATATGTTGGTGTAATGACGAATTATCATACACTATCCAATCAAATTCAGAAGATAGGGAACTAAATGAAATTTATTTAATCGTACCGGTACACCCATACTTAATAATTTTGCATCGTGTACCTTATGAATCTAAATTCCATATGCATATTCTTAAATAGTTACTCAGAATTTCATGTCAGGCAACGTGTTTACAAATATTATGATCTTGAACAGCTTATATTAAATTCACGATACAAATTTAGTGATGTAAAGGCAAAAGATGATTTACATATCAATATGACCGACACTGGGGTTTTTTTTTGTTCGAATTATCCTGATCAGAAACTCGGAAGGTGATTTCAAGGCAAAGGCGTATACAGTGTTTGCATTTGGACTATGTCCAATAAAATTTTATTTGGACTTGAACATGACTAATCCAAACAGTGTCCATGTTCATAAACAATTTACACCTTTCTCATTCTCCTTAGTTAACATTCCCGGATTAATTCGGAATTATATCTTAATTTTGGCTCATCCATGCTCGTATTTTATGTTTGATGGCTTTCCATTCGAAATATTTCAGAACAGCAAGAATTTGCCCCAAATTTATGCGGACTAGCTAGTTGAATAATAATCGCGTGTATGATTTGGACATAGTCCATGTTCATATTTTGCAAACATCGCATATATATATATATATATATATATATATATACAGAAATAAAACTTGAAATCTAGAGACAGTTTTGCTCACTTAAATAGACAATTACTTCATAGATACCTTATTTCACAAATGATTCATTCATAGACGGTTTATTTCATAGTTTATTTCATAGTTTATTTCATCGACAGTATAAAAATTTATTTCACTGACAAATCACTGCCAAATTATAGTCACTATTGTTAGGATTAATAACAGAATGATGTTTAGGGCTAGTGCAAATTATAAGTAAAATGTGCTATTAATGAAATAAATTATCTATAACATCATATCACCGATTTGATTTTTAGGGGTCTTTTTTCGATAAACTGTCACACAAACTTTTGCTATTAAGCGGCGTGAAGAATAACGAACGGAACATTCTATATAAGATAAAACAGGCAATAAACCTTAAAAAAACAGTTAAGCCAAGCTGTAAAAGAAAGCGCTATCACTAATTGTTAAAGCATTCGGATATTTTCGGGTTATGAAAGATCGGTTCATTGAACGATAACATAGCGGGCTTTCATTATCGTTGGTCAATTTTTTTAGTTAATAGAAAAAAAGTTCGAAGCGAAAAATTTTTTTCGGAAGTTATTAACAAAAAAGATTTATTTAATTTATAAATTGTAATTTATAATAATAATAATTTTTAATGCTTTGTATTACTTCTCCGCTTCCATTTTTTTTTTTTTACTGTATATAAAGTGGAAGGTGTGGTTTCTGAATATGTATCTGGTTTATTAGATGTAACCAAAACTATTTGGGACGTCCAAACCATGTGATAATTATTATAACATTAGTTTCGGCTGTTTTTTTTATTATTGCCGTTGCCGAAACTATGTGATACTAATTGACACATGGTTTAAATAGTTTGGGTTACAACACTAATTCGTTTGAGATGTGTAACATTTAGCGATTGACCAATCAGAATTAAAGCCCGCTATGCTGTCCTTAAATACAAAGCATTTTACAATCAGATCTTGAAACATCCAACTCGACACCAGAAGTCGGAGTCTTAATTTGTAGTCTTGTTTGGAGACTTTTCACATTGGTATAGTATTTTTGCTGCATGCCTATTGACTATGACCTCGTGCATTAACCCTACATATATGATAGATAATTAGTTAAAATAGATTAATAATCGAATTATTTGATAAATTCTTCGGATTATGTATTGTTAATACAAGAAATGCTAGGATAAGCATTTTTTGATTAAATGTTGATAAGGTTTGCTCATATAATAACGGTTACAGCGATAGTGTTCAGAATTATGATCCGGTCGTTGTAAAATTATGTGTGTGGCAAATCTCGTGCGAGTCCTGGAATCAGGATTAACTAATCGTGTATTGACGCATAATTATTGTCGTGAATAATGATGGATTAAAATGAAATTGAGAGTCTAAGAGATTTTCTTTCTTATGATATTATGATTCCTACATAGCAGTTACGTATTTTTATTGCATAATTATTACATATAATTGCACTGCTTGAACAAGTTTCCAGGTTCTCGCATGCGCAAAATTCTATATTATTAATTTTAGGACTAGTATATAAATTTGATTCGATAATCTAAAACTATTTCTTTCAAATATTCACATAAATACAAAACGATTGAGAATTTTCGTGATTTTATAATAATTTATTTAGTAATAAATGACGATTTTGATTTATTTATTTTCAATGTTTATAAATTTTTAACATAAATTTAAAAACAACTATTTTCAAAAAAAAGTATTAATTTTTTATATAAAAGTTGTAATTTTGAATTCGTTGGTCTTGAGTGTTTTTGTTATTTCACGTAATATAACCTATATTATACCGGTATAAAAAAAAAAAAAACGTGAATAAATTACATAATAATTGAAAAACCAAACAAGGACGTTCACAGTAACTGTGGCCACAAAGTTACTGTAGCCGCGAAGAGCTTCCAGTTGCTTGATTTTATGCATCCATTCACCACCTACACCAATTAATACCTAATTTCCGTCCACCCGACCCTCTTAAGGAGTGATTACCTTAATTAGTCAGTCCTGCGAACAAGAAATTAAATACTAACTGAAATAGTAACCTTCAAAACCATTGGAAGAAGAAATAGACGTTCACAACAAGCCGTCCACCATAGGTCTCAATGCCTAACTGGTGACTGTCACGAGTTGTGGCCCGAAGTGCTTCTATTATCTTCGACCTTTGGTTAAAAAGTCATGAGTAGACACATACAATTAATAGCAACTATTCAGTTACTGTACCATAAACCAGATGTAATTCTCACTAATAGACCTGCCAGAAAAGCAAGCTTTTCTTTCCACTTGTTCCGCAGACGTGTTGGCAGTATCTATCAGCAAAAACAACCTAGACATCTATGATACATTACCTTGTATGTATCGATGAGCTGAGGTAACATTTCTTGAAATAAAATCTATCTACAATGAAAAGTTTATATTATAAAAAGTTTTTTTACATAAACGTAAGTGTAAAAAGTGTAAGAAAAAATAAAAACATAAAAAAAAAACGAAAAAAACAAAAGTATTGTTTTGATTATTATTGTTGATTTGATGTAATTACATCATTTGTATGATCAGCGCCAATAAGATTTCATAAAATGTAACCAATAATTGA